ATTGGAGCCCCTCTGGCCACTTTTCATAGGGAGCCGAGCTCTGGTCTCTACTCACTACACACTGGGTCCCACCACACTGGGTCAGGCCAGGTAGCTGACAGGTCAGGTAGCTGACCCGTGAGCAGCGTCACAAATATAGCTTGACACGTTGGGGATGAGGACCCACTTTTCGGCCTCCCTTTGCAGAGCGACGGTTCTGCGACCCTCGACGGGCTGGAGTGCCTCGTTGAATCCACGCACGTGCTTCACACCGTCGCTCGGCGCCATGTCGGCGAAGACCGCCTTCGTCCCCATCAGATGGTGGGAGCAACCGCTGTCGAGCAGCAACGCCATCGGGTTTGCCTACACAGCTGCCACCACCGCCTGGAAGTCCTCGCCTGCCTCCGGCGCCAGCGAGACTGTCGGCTCCACCACGCCAACCATCGAGCACGACGCCTCCCCATCGCCTGGCCCTTGTCGATGGACTTGTCGACGTCCTTCGTCGATGACGTCTTCTTCAATATATGCTTCTCCTTGCGCGGATTTTCATCTCGACGGGGGCGACGACTGGCCGATCGACCGCGTCCTCCCTTGTTGTCGTCCTCGTTGCTGTCATCGCGGTCAGGGCACTCTTAGGAGAGATGGTCGGGGTCATGGCAGATCCAGCACTCCCGCCGTCGACCACCACCTCCACGGCCCTTGCCCTGCGTCGACCTCTTCTCGTCGGCGTCTTTTGTCGACCACCCACCTCCGCTACCACCTCCGCTCGGCTTCCCGTGTTGCTCTTGCTGACGATTTGACTTCGTCGGTGCAGCGTAACTCGCCTGCGGAAGGAGTTCTGCGGGCTGTTTTGCCCTACATCGCCTCATCTTGGAGGATGTAGCTGGTGAGGGAGTCCTCATCGAAGGACTCACGTATGCCGGACACCATCGTCATCCTCTTCACGAGGTTGTAGCTGCGCAGTAGGCCCTTGAGGACGAGGGTGATGTAGGACGCCGTAGAGTATTCAACGCCCGCCATCCGCATCTCAGCCAGGATCCGTCGAGCACGGTTGCAGTAGTCCGTCGCCGACTCCTGCTCGCCCATCCGAATCTGTGTCATCTTCTCCTCCAGCTGTCCGACGTACAGGTCGTCCTTCACCTGGTACATCGACAGGATGAAGTGTCATGCTTGATGATCGGCGTCCAGTCGCTCTCGACAAGACCTGAGCGCTAGCTACACCACCGGCGAGCAGCACCTCGAGATGACCATGAAGGTGAGCAAGTGAGCAGCACAAAACTCCCCGCGCAGCTCGACATCTTCCTCGAGCGGAATGGGCACGGTGCCGTCGGTGAAGCCCTTCAGCCCGGCGACCTCCTGCTGAGGTTCTATCGACTCCCTCCAGGTGATGAGGTCATGTCGACCTTGCAGAGGTGTGACGGTGATCCGGTCCAGCGAAAACTTGAAGTAGCCATACGCCGGTGCGATCCCGCCTGTTTTTACGTGCGTCGTCGCCACGCGAGCTGCCTGCAGCCGCCGTCGACCGCTGTACTCGCGCCGGACTCCTATCGACGCCACCGTCGACCTTGATCACCCCTCTCTGCTTCGTGCCATCGTTGCCGCTGACTCGTGCACCGCCGTTAACCTCGTCGTCGATGCCACCTTCGTTTCGTACCGGTCGAGGAGATGCAGGATGGGAAGGGTGCTCCGTCGCCCACTTCGCCCGAATGGCGAAGTCAGCAAGCGCACAGGGGATCAACCCGTACTCGCCATCCTCATGGCGTTTCCTCGCATCAGCCAAACGTGCCTCCAAGGTGTCCGCTACGCCCGCATTAGCTACGGTGTCGACCATGGCGACTAACGCGGCTTCCGGCCTACGAACGACTTAGTAGGTGCAATTGTCAACTCCTGTCTGAAGGTAATTTGTGGGGCCGTCCACGCTCACCGCACCATGCGGAGATTAACTCTACAAGGTAGTGAGCTAGACTACGGGGGGGTTGGCATGAACTACTAGGAGTTATCGTAGCTTTGCTTAGTACCTTAGCGCATGCGCATTCACGGGTGAAATCGGCAAGAATTTCACAAAGCAAATATCACAATTACAGAATGGTTGAACAAGCAATGAAATAACTACACTAGGCACCTAGCAACCCTGCAGCTAGCCTGGTCGACCGCCAGCACAGCTTGGTCGACCGCCTGCCAGCGTTGCGTAGAGGAGCCGCGCCAGCACTGCGGAAGGGCAACCTGCCAGCAGGGCAGGTCGACGGCGTGCCAACGCTGCAGCAGAGCGGCTGTCCAGCGTTGCCGCGTAGAACACAACAGTGCGCACGCTCACAGGTGCGCGCAGACGATTGGCTCTACTTGCGTTGCTGTGCATCCGTCGGCTGTTGTCTGCGCCTAACAAGCCACATCGACTTCGGGATACCAGCCCGAAGTCGCCTTTGTCACTGCGACCTCGACGACGTTCACGTGCCTCCACAAAACTCGCCGAGCAGGTTACATGGTCGACCTGGTCGACCACCAGGTGCTCTGGTCGACCACCAGGTGCCTTTGGTCGACCAGCAGTTGCCTTTGGTCGACCACAGCTCCCGTCGAGCTACCCCCTGGTTGACGGACCCCTCCATCGACCAGAACCGTCAGCTGTTGTCGCCGAGCTCCCCTCGTCGACCACCGCTCACATGTCAGGTCGATGGATTCCTCCGTCGACCTCCCTATCTAACTGCTCCTCCTGGTCGACGGGTGGGCCGGTCAAACTGCTAGCCCAATCAGCTACAATCGTCGAGCACCCCTGGTCGACAGCAACACCACAGTGATCCCTGCAGCTCGACGAAGCCCGCCGAGCAGCTCCCTCACTGTGAACGGTCGGCTGCTTCTCCCGTACATCCGACCAAGTCATCGGCGTTGCCCAAGCGAGGGCGGGGCCAACACTCCACTCCCGTTAACATCAAGAACGTCACAGCCAAGGGCAAGCTCACCCGCGACGGATGAAGGACAGGAAGAGTAAAAAAGAAACCCACATCGTAGTCAAGGCGGCACAAAGCAGCAAGTCAACAAGCTCAGCAACTAAGGACGAAGTGCCATGATGTGTGTGCCAGGGACAGGTGGAGGACGAGGACGCACAGCACGGCGAGAATGGAAAAGCGTGACAGGACGCGCTCATGCTCTCTACGCTCAGTGAAAGACTCTATCACCGCAGTGTGAGGAGCAAGAGCAGGTAGTGGGGAGCCAGGCGGTAGTTGTGGCTGAGACTGGACAGTCGGTGGGAACAGTAACGGAGGAGTAGTACCAGCAATTGGGAACTCAGTAGCAGCAGGCGGGAGATTGAGAAGGTGACAAAGCGCAGACAGTTGCGACTAAGTAGTCACACCCCCAAAACCGCAAGCCCCAGTAGGAACAGCACCCCCAGAACCAGCATCACCAGCTCCACCACCGGGACTGCCCCAACGGACAGCCCACTCGCGAAGCTGCTGTGGCGAGAGCGACTCCTGCCGACGAGTACCACCAACTCCAGTACCTCCAGTAGCACCTCCAGTGTCTGCACCGCCAGTACCTCCAACTCCAGAAACAGCACTAGCACCTACAGGGCCAGCACCTCCAGTACCTCCAGTAGCACCTGTGCCTCCAGTACTAGTACCTCCAGCACGGCCAACTCCAGGAACACCAGCACTAGCACCGCCAGGCCCAGCACCTCCTGAACGTGCAGCTCCAGCACGTCCAGCGCCACCACCAGGACTGCCCCTACAGAGAGCCCACTCGGAAAGCCACTCTGGCAAGAGAGACTCCTGGCGATGTGAGCCAGGACTACCCGCAGCAGCGCCCACAGCAGCAACACCTCCAGTACCTCCAGTAGTACATGTGTCCAGCACCAGTACCTCCAGCACGGCCAACTCCAAGAACACCAGTACTAGCACCTCCAGGGCTAGTACCTCCAGAACCTGCAGCTCTAGCATGTCCAGCGCCACCACCAGTACTGCCCAAACGGACAGCCTACTCGCGAAGCCGCTCCGGCGAAAGAGTCTCCTACCGACGTGCACCAGCACCACCAGCACCTCCACCTGCAGAACCTCCAGCAGCAGCACCTCCAGCACCCCTTGCACCCGTAGGCCTCGCAGCACCCCCAAAGCCAGCACCCCCAGAGTCCGCACCCTCAGTGTCACCACCTCCAGCAGCACCAGAGTCCACAGCGACGGGCCAAAGAGGCGGTGAAGACGGTCGAGGCGGAAAGCCTGAAGGGACCGCCAAGCGCGCGGAGCGGCGAGGGGCCACGGTGTCGGTAGCCGTCTGGTCACCCCCCTCAGATGGGCCAGAGGTGTCTGAGGAGACCTCCAAAGGCTCAACCAAGGGGGGTGGCTCTACCTGAGACACACCTGAGGGAGCGGGACCGGGAGGAGGGAGGTGGACTACCGAGGGGGGGTCGTCTACCAAGGAGAGAGGCGGGAGGGGTACTGGGGAACTGCGGTGGGGGTGAAGACAGTAGAAGTAGACGGACTCGTCAAAGGTGACGTTGCGGGAGGACAGCACATGACGAGAGCCCGGGTGGTAAAACTGCCAGGGCGGTGCATCGGTGGGAAAGCCAAGGAACATGCACCGAAGAGTGCGTGGAGAGAGCTTGCCCGCAAGCAAGTCGCGGACAAGAGAGAGGGAATAACTAGTGCAGTCAACACCCCCTGAAGGGGTACACCTGGCGCAGTGGAAGACGGCAGAGAGTTAAATGAGGAGGAGGCGAGAGGGAGAGAGGATAGGAGAGGGGAGAAGTACGAAGAAGGAGGTGAGAGAGGGATGAGGCAAGGAGTTGAGGGGGAGCCACCCATGGCGAAACCCTCGTAGTAACCCCCTATTACAAAGTGGGGAGGTGAGAGAGTGACGAGGAGAGGAGGTGGGGGGAGCCAAGCACGGCGAAACCCCTCTTAGTAACCCCCAAATCCCCACACCCATTCAACCACCCCCCCTTAACCTCACCCCCCATAACAGCCGCCCCCTTGGACCACACCCCTGCCCCACCCACGGTAGTCCCTGCAGTGGGGTCTCTGCTGGCGATGTAGCTGCTGGCGGGGTCTCTGCTGGCGGGGTCTCTGCTGGCGAGGTCTCTGCTGGCGGGGTCTCTACTGGAGGGGTCTCTGCTGGCGGGGTCTCTGCTGGCGGTGTCCTCTGCTGGCGGGGTCTCTGCTGGCGGGGTCTCTGCAGATGGGGTCTCTGCTGGCGGGGTCTCTGCTGGCGGGGTGTCTGCTGGCGGGGTCTTTGCGGACGAGGTCTCTGCTGGCAGGGGTCTCTGCTGGCGAGGGTCTCTGCTGGCGGGGTCTCGGCTGGCAGGGGTCTCTGCTGGCAGGGGTCTCTGCTGGCGAGGTCTCTGCTGGCGGGGTCTCAGCTGGCGGGGTCTCTGCTAGCGAGATCTCTGCTGGCGGGGTCTCTGGTGGCAGGGGTCTCTGCTGGCGAGGTCTCTGCTGGCGGAGTCTCTGCTGGCGGGGTGTCTGCTGGCGGTGTCCTCTGCTGGCGGGGTCTCTGCTGGCGGGGTCTTTGCGGATGGGGTCTCTGCTGGCGGGGTCTTTGCTGGCTGGGTCTCTGCTGGTGGGGTCTTTGCGGACGAGGTCTCTGCTGGTGGGGGTCTCTGCTGGCGGGGTCTCGGCTGGCAGGGGTCTCTGCTGGCGGGGTCACTGCTGGCGGGGTCTCTGCTGACGGGGGTCTCTGCTGGCGGGGTCTCTGCCGGGGTCTCTGCTAGCGGGGTCTCCGCTGGCGGGGTCTCTGCTGGCGGGGTCTCTGCTAGCGGGGTTTCTGCTGGCGAGGTCTCTGCTGGCGGGGGTCTCTGCTGGCGAGGTCTCTGCTAGCAGTGTCGCTGCTGGTGCGGTTCTCTGCTGGCGGGGTCTCTACTGGCGGTGTCGCTGCTGGCGGGGTCTCTGCTGGCGTTGTCGCTGCTGGCGGTGGCGCTGCTGGCGGGGTCGCTGCTGGCGGTTCCGCATGTTTGCTTGCTGGCGGGCTTGCGGGTCGCGTACAATGTGGAGCGTGCAGTGACGGAGGAGTAGCTTCTCCCGCCATTCCCGCCACACCTGCCATTCCCATCGCTCCCTTCACAGCAGCTGCGAAGTCGACGGGAGGGCGGGCGAGGACGGAGTTGGACGGGACGAAACGCGGGCTGGCGCTGATGCTCAAGTGACGGCCACCAACCCTTTCCCCTTCTCCTCTCCCCCCCCCCTCCCCCCCCCCCCAACTACGACCGTCGATGTTTCCATGCCAGGGAGCCGCGACGAGGCAGCGTGACGGGGAAGGGCGTCGGGGAACGCAGTGGCGGGTCGAGGGGCCGACGGGGGGGAAGAGCGGTGGCGCGAAACAGCGGGTCGACGAGCGCCGTCACAACCGCCGCGACCGTTGCGTCTGTCACGACTACTGTGACGGATTTTGCTACGGGCGGGCGACGGGAAGGGACGGACAGAGCCGCGATTTGCTGCTTGACGGGACGCGCCATCGTGAAAGCTAATGGTGGGCCCTTAGGAGATTAGGTCGGGAACGACCTAGCTCAATACCATGTCAAGATACTAACGTAACGTTTAGGGCCTGGGCTTAGGAGCCTAGGCCAACGTATGTTGAGAGAATTGTGGCCAAAGGAAGCGAGAATGGTTGGGTTCACTATAGCACACAAGGTACATATAGCAAACTAGCAAAGGTGTACCACCAAACAAGCAATTAACGAACTACACTACAATAACTACAGCAAGCATGATAGATATTAAATATTACTTTAACGGCGGGAGGACAGCACACGACGAGAGCCTGGGTGGTAAAACTGCCAGGGCGGTGTGTCGGTGGGAAAGCCAAGGAACACGCACCGAAGAGTGCGGGGAGAGAACTTGCTCGCAGGCAAGTCGCGGACAAGAGAGAGGGAACCCCAGACCCGAAACGCCGACGCATCACCAACCTCCCCCGTCCACCGCAAAGTGGGGGAGGTCTCCGGGTGGGAGACACGGGGCTAGAGGTTGAGCTGCTCAGCGGCGTATCGGACCGCAATCGGCCACAGAAAATGGGGAGCAGCCGCATGGATCGTGGAGGTGCGAGCAATCTCCATGACTAGACCAATGCGGCGTTCGGCAATCCCATTCTGCTGTGGAGAGGCCGAAAGCGTGTACGACTGGACGATGCCCTGAGCACCACAGAAGTCGTCGAGGAGGCGGGAGCAAAACTCACCACCTCGGTCAGAGTGCAGCCGCAGGCGTGGCAAGGAGGGGTGGCCAAGACGGTGGTGCCAGAAGAGAGTCTGGTACGTGAGGAGACGACAAGAACAAGATGCAGTGACCTCAACCGACGCAGCTACCTGACCTGACTCAGCTACCAGTGCAGACTTAGTGGTCAGTGTGTATAGGCCAGACCCAGGCCTCCGAGTGAACGTGGCGAGGTGCTCACCAGTACGCGAGTCCGTACAGATCGCCACAAGCTCGCCTCCAGGCTGGGTGACAGTGACCCACTGGTCATGGAGGACAGAGGTAGCCACCAAGTTTTTAGCAAACGAGGGGAGGTGGAGACCTATGAGGAGGCCGGAAGGGGCCGCGGGATAGGGGAGAACAGTAGCGCCACGCGCGACTATCGAGCCCTCGGAGGGTTCGGCTAGTGTGACAGGGACAGGGGCTGTGAGCGGTGTGACTGTGGTGCTGTCGCGGAAGAAGCAGCGAGACGTGCCTGAGTCTAGTGTAAAAGTGTGCAAAGCTTCCTCAGGCTCTACCCCTGCGCTCGCTGAGACACACACACCGAGACTAGTAGCCTCTACGCCACCAGGTGCCTCTACACCCCCAGACTGAGTACCCCAAAACCCTCTGCCACCGGGGCTGCCCCACCGGACAGCCCACTCACGAAGCTGCTGCGAGGAGAGAGTCCCCAGCGGACGCTGCTGCTGCTGCTGTCCACCCCCAGAACCTCTCCGTCTACTAGCGAAACTACCAGCAGGAGTAGACTCACATGTACCTCCAGTAGTAGCACCCCAACGGACAGCCCACTCACGACGCTGCTGTGGCGAAAGCGGCTTCCGCCGACGAGCACGGCTAGCTCCGCCACCGGGGCTGCCCCACCAAATAGCCCACTCGCGAAGATGCTGCAGCGAGAGAGACTCCTGTACACTCGGCTGCCGCTGACGTAGGACAGTGATAGTGGCCATGGTAGGCAGTGTTAGTCAGCAGCAGCGGCACAAGGTTCAAAGTTGCGATTGGAGTGGCGGTAGTTGGAGCGGTAGGTGCAGTGGCAGCAGTGGTAGGAGCAGCAGCGGTAGCAACTGTAGGAGCGTGCGCATGCGGTAGCGGCAGTTGGTGGTACGCTCGGGGCAGGGCAGGAGCGCGCAGGCAGCACGAGCACCCAGGGCAAGTCAGCGCTGGGCAGTGAGGCAAGGCAAGACAGGGCTGGGCAGCGTGCAGGGCAGCGATGGCGCGGACAGTGCAGGGCGCTGGCGAGGGCAGGGCGCTGGCGCGGTCAGGGCAGGGCGCTGGCGCGTGGCGCAGGCAGGGCAGGGCGCGTGGCGCAGGTAGGGCAGGGCGCATGGCGCGTTTGCAGTGCAAGGCGCGTGGCGCGCTGGCAGGGCAGGGCGCGAGGCGCGCTGGCATGTGACGATGGATATCTTGGAACCTGGCGTGCTGGCAGGGCAGGGCGCGTGGCGCGCTGGCAGGGCAGGGCACGTGGCGCGCTGGTAGGGCAGGGCGCGTGCCGCGCTGGCAGGGCAGGGCGCGTGGCGTAGGCAGGGCAGGGCGCGTGGCGCGCTGGCAGGGCAGGGCGCGTGGCGCGCTGGCAGGGCAGCAGACGGTGCGCGTACGGGTAGGTGCAGGGCGCGCTAGCGGGGCAGCGCGAGTGCGGGGCAAGGCAGTGCGTTGGTGGGCAAAGCGCACGGGCGGGGCCGGCAAAACCCGTGCGGGCAGCGCGCGGGTGGGCAGCAGGGTGCGCGTGGAGAGCGCGCGGGCAGGCAGGGCGACACAGCTGCAGGCAAAGCGCGCGTGGGCAGGGCGGCGCTCAAGCAGGGCAGCAGGGCGCACGTGCGGATATGGCAGCAGGGGCGCGTGCGGGCAGGGCAGTAAGGCGCGCGTTGGCGCTAGGTAACAGGGCAGAAAAAATAAGTTTACAAGTCCGGGCAGGGCAAAACGTTCGGTGGGCCCTAATGAGTGAACCTACTCTAATACCATGTTAGAATATGGAAACAGGAATGAATGAACTATGCAGGATGGGGATACAAGTAATGAACGCTAACATGGGTGTCCCCTCTACAGTGTGCCCCGGTATAGACTACAGCACTATAAGTACATAATTTGACAAGATGCTGATGAATTTTTTGGCGGGATTCGCTTACACGTTACACATTTCACGCTCTCATGAAACACGCAAATGTTCCACAATTTGGATTGGCCTTTACAATGTTATACGCCCTTATGGTGGGTGCCCCACGTACAATATGCTCATTGTGTTCGAAATGTGCGCCTAAACTTTATGGGCCATTTTCAACGGCATTCAACTTATGCCAGTGCGACTATGCATATGCATACAATAGACGGCCGTAGGGGAAAGAGGCTGACGGATTGTTATCTGCCCGCGGTCAGAAAAATATAAACCCATCTGGATGGCATGCGACTGGGGGAGCCTCAACCTAACACAGGTAACCGCATGGTTTTGCCGACAGGCCGACATTTTTCCGTTTGCATGCATTTGCAAATTAGCACTTTCAAAATCTGCATGCATTAGGTAAAAGCCGAAACATATTATACACCTTCCCATTTGCCAGACCCAGCCATTTGGTCGGCACTTAGGCCTGGTCGGATAAAAAATGTTACACGCCCTAACAGTCTCATTGGTCGGTGTTCGATTTTGTGATCGCATGTTTGGTCGTCAGGCATAAAATCCGCGGTGTCCGAAGCGAGGCAGCACCCCATCTTGATTCCACCCTGCCCAAATTGCAATCCTGGTGGGAAACTTCGACGGCGGGCAAACGTGGGAGCGCCATTTGTCGGATTGGGCAGAAACCGAATGTGAGAGAATAGCGGGAAAATAACTTCAAACGAGCACATATCAACTGCCCGTGGGAAATTGGGCGGGAGCACGGAGCGATGCGCTGTCAGAGCCGCAGCCCGTTGGAATTGGAAACGCGGTTCGTCATTTCCTCTGTTGCTTGCCTTGTCATCCATCCCCTCCCCGCCTCTCCACCTCTCCACTCATCTCATCCCGTGCCATGACCCTTCACCTCCATCCCTCCCATCCCATCCATCAAGGCAGAAACATTTGTTGCTGGCGACTCGCACCGAGCATCACCGCCACGTCTAGCTTCTTGGTGCCCCAGAGCACTTTCATTGAGCTTCTAGATGCTCTTTCCGGTGAGGGATTGTCAAACTTCCGATTAGCTCCTAAAGTTTCACATTATTGGATCCTTTCATTGACTCGACCACAAGCAGTGGCTGTTGTAAAAGCTTTAGCTTCCACTCGCCTAGCACTACTGCCGCGAGTAGTCCATATCGAAAAATCCCGCCATATTCGCGCTCGAACTATCTGATGAGGAGTCAATGGCGGTTCTCTCTTGCCCTGCGCCAAGAGTCTCTAATGCGAGTTCTGGTCCTAGTAGCATGCGTTGCGTGGACGCTCTCTGTAGCCCTCGCAGGCGACGCCAACCAGGATCGTGCTAGTGCAGACGCTATTGCTGACGCGCAGATCACGCCTAATAGCTCGCCGTTTCGTTCTAATCTCACCGCAATCCTCGCTACTTTAGCCTGCATCGCGCTCGCAACTCTCGCGTCCACCCTGTGTGTTATTTTCGTCGTCGCATCGCGATGGGCAGGTCTTGGCCCGGTCGACTTCAAGCCCGCTGCGACGCAGGACGGCACCTCCGATGCGACTCTCACGTCCCTCAAGACAGCCTGTTCCTTCGCGCTGCGAGAGGGCGAGTCGCCGTACGCCATCTTCGCGCCATCCAAGCCCACATCCACCCGCGCGCGCGTGCAGGCCGTTCTTGACGTCGTGCTGCCGGCCGCTGTCAAGGCTGTCAACTGGACCGCTAAGCTGTCCGGGACATACG